ATAGGATGGGTGTCGTGGGGTATTTCATGATTTGAGAGAAGGGGGAGAAAAAAGGGCAAAAAAGAAACAGCGGTCCCCTCCTTTCTGTTCCTGTGTTGAACAAAAACGTGACCACAATCGTCCACAATAATGAGATATATCTCAAGCAGAAGCTACATCACCGGGCCACGTTTATTGAGGTACGCAGCCACGGCCTACCGCATCTCAGGACTCAACATCCGATGACAGCAGTCTAGCCTGGAAAGGCTGTCAGGAGGCAACCATTTGCGGGAAGTAATTGTAGTTGTTACTTTCCGTAAACATTCGAGCTATTGCGCGCGTAAACAGTTCTCCCTAGTTAGTTCTGACTCCGAGTTGTTCACTTTGGCCGCTTAAATCGGTTGCTGCCATTGAGGATTCTTCTAACCGCGTGACGTCCGGAATAAGAATTCAGCTGTGGTGACAAGTGAAGGCTAGTAAATGCGCTTATAGCTGGCAGTTGGCATGAACTGATGGCAGTCTTTACTGAGCTTCACCATGGAGAGTAAAGCCATTTGCAGTTCCTCATCATTACGCTACGTGTATCGGGGCGGCACAGGCCGCCGGCTGCACTGTGACTCGACACGCGGCTGCGGTCGGTGGCGGGTGAGTCAGCTGATTATCTGGAATGGGAATTCGTTGCGAATTCTGACTCCTGGTCTCACTTCAGCTCTTCAAGCTTCGAAGTAGAAGGTGAGTTATTTGAGGCAGGTCGTGAATCGTTGCTTCACTCTGAATGAAATGTTGAAAGAAGCAAGCTATTTGAATACATGCCTGAATAAGGCAAAATCAAGGAAAAGAGCAATATAATCGACATACGAAAATAAGGTGAAAATGCAGAGCAGTGTTACAATTCAAAATTTGTTTCCAGAAATATTTCAACTTCCACCTTAGAAACTTGAAGGGCTGAAAAAGTATGAATTTACGGTCGCATTCGATGGAAATCAGCTTCACCGTCAACCGGAGCCGCCAGCCGAGTCGCGTCACCGTCGCCGCGCGGCTGCGCCGTCCCGGCGAGTACGTAATGATGAGGAGCTGTACCTGAAGCATGTCAGGTAGGCGGACCCAAGAAGCTCGCTTCTAATAGCTTTGTGCTGCACACAATTCGCGAGAAACTGCCGGCGGTGACAGTACAACTGCGCAATTAAGCCACTCAAACATGATACCAGAAAACTCACTATGCTGAGGTGCGAATATTCCCAGGACTTTTTTGCCAGCCAGAGTTCTTTTTAGCCTCTCCACAGATGATTGAGACCTAAAGAACGATACGAGTGAAATCGTGTCAAAAGAGATAGTGTGTCACAGGCCTAGGAACAACACTAGAAGACTGAACTGTGCTGCAACGCACCTTCTAAATTACAGTCCATAATCGGGGATGGGGAGGTGTGGCTGGCACCCTTCGCCATATCCAAATGAAGACCACCCTCAGCCCCCCCCCCCTGCCCGTAACTCCAGGATATCAATTTATGACCATCTGCGAACTTAGAGCCATAAAAAGGTAGAATACGTTCGGAAAACTTACTCTTCTATTCGTAGCTGGTGGCCGAAGGATGGCGTCTCGTAATATGTACTCCGTCAACAATGTGGGATGCGAACTCGTTCGAAGGTGAGGAAGAGAGCAGGGAGACGGTGCGGAAGTGGGACGGTTTTGTTGCAACGGTGATTGAAACGAAACCTTATAAAAAGAAGGTTACTGGTGAGCGACACTTAAAATTTCAAAGTTCGTCAAAGTTTGAAAGCGACCAGCGCGGATTTCCTTTTGCGGCTTCTTTCTTTCTTTCCTTAATAATTTTTTGGCATAATCTATCGAAAGCGTCCGAACGCCTTCCTTTGTTCTTTGTTGATCTTGGCAACTATAAGGTAATGGGACCTTTTTCACAAACAGTGAACAGCGGACATCGTTTTTTAACGCTGGCTGGTTAGCGGCATCTCTGAGCCATTTTTTTTTTGTTCTTCATTGACAGTCCATGTTGAGAAACAGCCTCGATGTATTTTGTATATTTTGGCTTACCAGACATCTTTGAGATTGTTGGCCCTAACAATAAGTCTCCAGCCCTGTTGAAATAGATTGCGCTCACATGTGAACATACTCCTCATCATCTGTGCTGTAACTGGGGCAGCGGTGGTATGCATGCGTTTTAACGGCAGTTTGGCAGCGATATTTGGTAACCTCGATCTATAATGCTACTAAGGCCGCTGTATAGTGGGGAAAATGGCGAAAGAAACAAAGGAAACTGCCAAACACCTGCGGAGAAGAAGCCTTCGTTCTGGCGGTGAGTGCTCGAAAAACAGGAGTGTTCCGACGATTCCCGTAGGACCATCTGCCAATTATATCTCCGCTACTCTGTAGGTAGCGGAGCTCAAGTATGTAACATATATATGTAGCGCGCGAGCCGCACCGCGGCGATCCATACCAATCCCTATGTATGTCGCTCATATAATTATGCAACTGAGAGCGCGAGAGGCGAGAGCGAGCAGGTACTGCGCCCATGTTGTGGGCGGGTGGGCGTTGTGGTTTGTTGGGTCGGATGTTGTAGCTTATAGAGCTTTGATAAGGGTCTGTCTTATCTGAAGGCGCACGGCTAGCGCCTTGCTCCAGGCTCGCGGAATTCCGGTTCCTCCAGGCATATAATCCTACCTGCGTTCTTAGGGAATTATCATGGCCAAAACTCCTTCGATTGTCGCGGTGAGGGTTGACGATAGGGCAGGCGTTGCAGACTGGGAGGCGACATACTGATCCCTTCGGCACACAAACACTATGCTCGCTAGTATAAACCCATCTCCGGTGGGGAGCGTGGCAAGTTCAAAGGTCATCCAGCCGCCTGGGTTTTTTTGTCTTTTTCAGAGATCGCTATAAGGTGATGATTAAAGCTTTTTTGATAAAGAATGAGGTTCCGCCAAGGATCCATGAAATATTTGACGCTATTTTTGCATGTGTTTAAAGGCTTTTTTGAAGTTTTTTTTTTGGGCAGAGTTTCAACAGCTTGTGAGGCTAACGCAGTTAGAAATTCCGTTCGCTCAATAGCATGAAGTTAAGGAAAGATGCAGTGATCTAGCAGTCATCTGAGTAAACGATGCCAAAGTATCAGAGTAACATTGTGAGACGTGACTGCCCTGTCCTGTTCCCAGCCGATCGCGGTATATGGTGCTAAGGGCTGGTCCGCGGCCAAAGTAGGTGAAGATCACCTCAGTGAGAAGAGGACCAAAGTGTTGCGTTGGGCTGACGAAGTTTGTAAGACTGGTCTCCTGCGCGAGGTCTTCTCAAAGTGGCTTCCAAAAGGGCATCCCTAACAGCGCTGGCTTGACACGCTGCTCACAGTCTTGAGAATACCACGCATTCATCTCAATAACGCATCCAATCGGGAAAATTAGCTTCAACATATCCCGCCCCCGGAGGGTCAAACGCTGAAGAATGAGAAAAGAGACACTGAGAGGCACTATGCTGTGATCAGGGCATTTGAACTCGTTCAATCTGGCGCGCCCTTGCATATCTCGAGTGAATTCAAAGAATAGGGACAATGGCCTGAATGTTGGTCATGCACCATAAGTTACATAGTCCACCATTCTGGACAAAAGTCGAGTGGCGTGGACCTAACGAAATAAATATATCTGCTGAACCTCTACAAAATCATGTCTTTGAATGATCGCCCACCAAGCAATCGGTGAACTCAAAAGGGGCTCGGCTCAATTTTCAATAGAATTGAAGGTAGCTCTCTTGAAAGTTCCCCAGTAACTCGACTGGAAAGATGTTCTTCAGTTAAAAAGGAATCTTGGCTCAATTCAGTATTACACATACCTGTATAAGAGGTGTGGGTGGACGCGGTGGCAGCGGCATTTCTGAAATGATCGGTGCGACTCGGAGGCGGATTGACCTCGTAGCCGCGGGATAATCCGAAAATCGCAAGAAATTCACGAATAGTCGCAAGTCTTCGTGTGAAATCGGTCGAGCATGAACAGTTTCGGAAATTCATTACTGTATGCAGACATTCAAATAATGGCCCAAGCTCGCCAAAACTCTCTGTTCCTTACCTAAGGGGTCCGACTAATTCATCAGATAAAAATGCTGGCTTGGACAATCAATATTGTTTCGGTTTCTGGATGTGTGCTTAGATCCATTTTCAGACGCCTCTGGGGACAAGGTGACCCTATCCGCAAGCATGAAGCATGAGCCACTTTCGCAGATAAAGCGACATGACGCAAGGGCGACTTGCTCGCAACTAAGCCACCGCTCCGCCCGTTGACCACCGCTAGGCCCAACTTTCACTTCACAAGTCTTTCCGATGATGCGGTTGTTCCGCCACTAATTCTCTCCATTTTGAACGAGAGTGAGGTGATAGGGCGAAAGGGCTGATACCGACAAGAGAGAAATTCTTCGAACATACCCATCCTTGCCTTGTGCACGTACCACTTTCAACGTGAGGTCCCTCGCGGGGGATTTCGAGAAGATTTTTCCTGTATTGTCTTCACATGTGTGTTACTTACCATCTTCTCATTAGTATTTTGACCTCACAAGTTACCGTTTTTGATGCGAGGCCTGCCTTTGAAATGGGGCAGCGGCGCGTCCTAACAAGAATGCTCAGAGCTCTGCTCTTCTAACTTGACAGGTTCTCGCCATCTTCCGACGTATAGTGCCAACAACAACACACAAAAACTATTCTTTATTAATAACCCGCAAAGTAACACTAATATCTCGCAGTAACAATCACAACAGATCACTGTTATCGTAAGAATAACACAGATAAAATAACAGGCACATAGAAGTATTTGGCGCTATTGCAGATGAACAGGGCCATGCGGTGGTGCGGTTTACTGATTCTTCCTCTCCTCACGCTGAACGTTAGGAGAGCGCATACTACCAAAGTCCGCTTGCAGCCTCATTCTGAAGAGTACGAGAGCGGGTTTCGTTGTAGCGCCACCGTCCCCCTCGCAACTGCAGTAGCGCCGGAATGTTCCGCGAAGACGTCCTGCTACTTTTACAATACTTAAAAGAACTGTATAATTTCCCTATAATTCATAAAACAGCAACAACAAAATCAACACCAAGCAACATTACCTAGGAAAACACAGAGGAAATCTTGATTTCAACGACTGTTGTAACTCGGTCCAACTTGGGCCAACAAATTAACATCAGGAACCGTTTCCATTCCATTCCCGACAACAATCGAACCAGAACTGCCAATGAAAAGGCATAATAATGGGTTGATTGCCGAACTAACCGCCGGAGTAACCGCCACAGCTGGTTCAGCTAACTAGAAAAATCTCATTATATGAAGATTATGCCTACTACTACAAACGGCGATAACTGAATTTGGCGGAATTTTTCGCTTCAACTCTCTTTTTAACCAAGGCCTGGTTGATTTCCAACATTCAGCGATGGTGTGATGATCGGAGGCGCAGAGACGCTCAGTGGGAGCCTTAGTTTTACTATGACTTTTCAAGCGACGCGGCAGCGGTCTTGGTCATCCTATACAAGGGAAGGACTCCCTCTAGCAAGCTACCGTGGAATGTATCTCACACCATTCCGGTCAACCTACCCACGCAGTTCAATCTATGGGCTCAAAACTTTCGACTGCAAAGGTCATTCATTGCCGGGTCCAAACATACTAGCACCTCAACTTTTCGTTTCTTGAAGGTTCTGGAAGCAATAAAGCGAGTTCGGTAAACTCATACGAGCACTTAGCAAGACAGCCGCCTAGGCGCCGAGGGTGAAAGCGCGACGTGACGCGCGGCGACGTCGGAGCGGGAATTGGTTAGCAGGAACAGAGCTGTCTAGGTGAACAGTGAGCTTTCCGTAGTCCACGATCCCATATGTCGCGATCGACCCATCACTCCAGATGGCTGTAGGAATCGGAACACGATACACTCGACAACTATTCAGTTAAATGAGTGACCACACCCAACTATGAAAGCGTCCAAGCCTACCAGCTTCCTTGACGGGATACCATTGTGCTTTTCCCTCACCTGCCAGAATATCTAGGAACAACTCACCTCGTTACTAGCAGTGAAGAAGGATCACGCACACTAAGAGGGACGGCATGCAGGAATCTAGCCTAAACGAAGACCAGCAAATAAGTGACAGGTACAAATAATCAGTGGGCAACGAAGTATCTATGCCTTACTTGATTTGCCTTCAGATCAATGGAATGAGCAGCAAATCGGCAGTCCAGGGCAACTGATAACACTTGAAGATCTGTGTCGTCAACCGGATGCCAAGCCCCTAGGCAATAAAATTAGTGGATATAGCCGGTATCTGCCCATAAAAAGGCATGACAGCTGCCTAATGCAACTGGCAAAGTGACTGACGATGGAGCAGAACACTTGTTGTGAATAACTGTTTCTAGGGATCCACCGAGTTACTCGCAGATATTGGCCCTCCGGAAAACAATACGATCATTCTTACCAGTAACAGTGGCACTGTGATAAGTCAAAGTAGCTATCTTCTGCAGATCAAGTCCACGAATTGAGAACACAGTACTGTTCCGGACTCCGATCCTACTGCTAGCCATTGCTGGTTATCCTCGCAGAAGTAGGTAAGGGCCGAAAGACCGCAACGTTCCACAAACACCTGAAAATTACCGGATTTGCCTGAAAAGTGCACAGCAAAGACTTAAAAAAATCGAGCTATGAGGTGGTTGCAGAAGGGAAAGTGGAAGGAAGCCACCAACCGTATTGACAGGTTCATACTTCCCAGACGACTCCCTCAGAAACAAATTCCCTGAGGTAGATGATGCACAAAGATAGACAGTACCGTTGACTGACCACGAAACAACCTTAAAGACAAATTAAGCACATGGTGTTTGGAGAAAACAAGGACTGTCTTCTATATGCTAACCTTACTGAAGATAGAATAGTTTGGGCTCGTCAAGGCAAGAAGCTGGCATCACTTTCAAGCCGAACACCACTATTTCCGTCGACATGCAGGTTTAACCACCTGAAATGTCAGGAAAAGTTTCGTGGAGCTAGGAGTGGATACGCAAGATAACAATGAGTGACAGGTAGCGGTCCTTCCATATCCTTGCCCCAGCCGCTTACCGCTGGCCATGGAGGGATATCGTGGCCTCAAGTTGGAAAATGATTAAGAAAGCTTATCAACACTCACTCAATCTTTCCGTCGGCATAGCATACCGCAATCAAATAGTGGGTATCTATCACCTGAAACACAGCATGGAAGGTGACCTCGGTTTACTTCAGAAATTAGCAAGCCAAGCGGACTCCTGCTCTCATTAAAAAAAAAGGATACCCGAGTAACAGTAACATCCACCACTCTAGCGGTGCTCTCTTCGCGCTGGTATCGCGCGGAGCGAACTGCATAGGAATTTCCATCTATCAGAGCTGAAATGGTGATTTTTGTATACCTCCCAGGTCAGGTTTATGAATAGAGGTTTTACCTTGTGAACAGACCATCCATGCTGTAACGGTTCCCTTTTCTCCACCAACAACAACGACACATCCGCCAGAAAATAATGGAGACGATCGAATACAAGTGGGAGCTGCTGGATTGTACAAGGACAGTAGTCTAGACCATGCTGAAATTAACAAACTCCGAGGCTATATGCCTTCACTGGGCGTAAAATATGTCGTTGATCTTACAGCGGTTCCTCCATCGTATCTGTGTGAACTGGATGAAATAGTCAGCACCAGCAGTAACAACACGAGTATTCGTACCATTATCTTCCATCAAACAGACACCGATGACTTGTGCTCGATGGAAACACTGCTCCAGGAAAGGAAGCCGCTTCAGATATAAATCGATCGAAACAATTGACTGCAATAGTGGTCTGTACTCTGAGACATATTACACGACTACCTGGAACGTGTACTTGAAGGTACACTCCACGATTACCCGAGTCGACGGTCCTTCCCGTTCACTGGGTGGACACATTCGCAGTTCGGTAGTGCTTTTGCAATTCCAAAGGGTGTGGCAGTGAACCGATAGGCTTGTCATAACTTTTAAATACTTATTAAACCGCTCACCATTTTATACGCTAAGTGGCCGCATGATAAGCGGCCGTGTGGCCCTCTTAGCGAGATAGTATCCTGTGAGCTTGGTTGAGGTCGGCGAGGGCAATTTGAGATGATTGCAGAATCTATATCTCAGAGCAGCATGTTGTGGTTGGTAATGAAAGAACCATTCAGGGCGGAGTCAGGAGGGGCGGGATGAATGCGCCGCTGCCTTGCGCTCTCAATGGTGATTGGTCAATGATTTATTTAGGAAGAAAACAACCAATGGTGGAGACGCCTCAGGTTGGTTCATTCCATCGGTGACCACCTGCACTTCTCTCCTCACTTTCCAAAAGAGCTTCACTTTCTCAACTCGATGATCACTGGAGATGAGAAGTGGGTCCTCTACGGTAAGCTGTGAGGAAGCGGCAGTGGGTCGACAAAGGAGAACGGCCAGAAGCCACCCCAAAGGCCGACCTTCACCCCAAAAAGGTTCTCCTGTCCTGTTAGTGGTCCAGAAGAGGCATGGAGTACTGGGAGCTGCTGGAGAAGGTACAGACGATTGACGCTTCCACATGCGTGCCCAACTACGGAAATTGAAAGATCACGTCGACCGTACTCGTGGAAGGAATGCGGAAATCTACTTCCACCATGACAACGTCCGACCTCACACTGCAAAGGCGACCCAGGTCGAACTGGAAAAGTACGGATGGCTGATGGTCGCCCACCCTCCCTACAGCCCTGGCTCCTTCTGACTACTGGCTGTTCAGCCACCTGCAGCGCTATCTGAACGGAAAAAAGTTCGAAACAAAAGATCAGGTCAGAAAGGCGCTTGACGACTTCTTCAAGTCCCAGCCTCCGTCGTTCTGGAAGGATGGGATCGACAAGCTGCCTGAGCGCTGGCGTCTAGTAGTGAATGGTGATGGTGCATACCTGTCTAATTCTCCAGGCTGGTTCGTTTTTGACGATCATTTCAAAACAATCGTGCTATAAAGACTTAATGCGACAAACTTAAATATGATGCATATCTGGAGGTCGAAAAGGGGCGTTCCAGGCGCCGCAGGCAACGGGTGCAAGACCCAAAGCAGAGACCTATGTGGCAGGAAGTATGGTTGGTATATGGAATTAAGACAGCCGTTGTCCCCGTTGCCATGCTAGTGAGTAATCCTGACTCACTTTTCAGGCACATTTAGAATTCCTGTGGAAAAACTCAAATATGTAAAGCGCTAACCTCTTTACGAAGGAAGGGTCAAATGTAGCAGTGGCGGTGCAGTCTGACATCTTGCACTTCTCTAAAACTCATAGTTTAGGATACAAAGTGAAGTACCATTTGTCGATGAATACCTGCGCATGGTAGCAGTACACAAAAGTGGTCGCCAGTTCGAACATCAACTACATAAAAGTTTCTCTAAAAGAAGAAGAAACAGTGTAAAGTTCAGAAAAGCTCTTGGTGGAATTCCCGATTCATTTCTCAAGACAGACTGTCCACTTTCCTTCTGAGAACGATCCTTGCCAAAGAAACGGCACTTGGCAGCTGTTCAAATGTAATTTTCACAGGCCAGCTCGAAAACGCGCGATAAAGAAGGTTGAAAGGGTAGTGAAACCCAGGTGGCTGTCCGGGATCCGACAGGCGCTATTTCTCATGGGGTCAGCTTTTGCGTGCAGATAAAACAAGATTCCGCAGAGAACACACGCATTTAGGCTTCAGAGAAACACCAGAACTAACGGGGAGAGGGCACAGACAAGTTAGCGGTAGCTTGTGGTTTAAAGGCACGTTCGCGGATAAACTATGGCTAGGTTCTCATAAGCGTTACACGGATGGTCATGAGCAGGCGAGCCAGAGGCCTATACTGCCTTTTAAAAATGAAAAAACAGCAGAAGCGCAAAACGCAGCGGCGCCTCAGGTCTTTAGGCCATCGGCGCCCGATAGGCCCTGCGGCCTCCAATGACCGTGTCGTTGTCGAAGAAATTGCATTGCGCCCGTCACTTTCCTGGGCCCTTCTCTCAGTCTCTTATCCAGTGTATCGCCACCTTCGCCAATCACACTGATCTTGACCACCTTACGTCTCTGCCGTGTAATCATGATTAAAGTGGCAATAAAGGAACGTCTTATTCCGGGCGCTTTTTCGGTGGCTTCCTTCTTTTCAATAAGTTTCAACAAACATACGGCAATTTCTATTTTTGAACTGTATTACGCTATGAGCTGTAGTCGCGGTCGCGTTGACTGCCTTTTAAGCGCGTGGGGCAATGCAGCAGCGGTGAACGGAATCGCCGATCGGTGCCGTGGTCATTCCAGCGCGATATTTTTCGGTGCATTTTTGTTGCTGGGGAGGATGCTGTTGCTATTATACTGCGACGGCCATTCACCGCTTGCGTATGACAAGGTATGCAAGGATTCGAGATTTGCGGGATATTTTGGAAGATTTATACGCTCTTCTCCTCATCGCGTGAGCTTTAGTGGCTTCGTGTCCTTCAGGCTGTGCGATTTTTTAAGTGGAGACCGCAGTTTCGGCATAACGCACGATTTCCGGCGACCTGCATCCGCGTCCTCTGGATATTTCGAGGTCAACACGCTCGTGGTCGTCCCGTGGGAACTATTGTGTTTCTCGGGAGCCGCTCTGTGACGCAGACTCCATCTGTCCCGTTGTGACGGGGTACGTGACCAGCCCAGCGCTGCTTGCATAGCGCCATGTACTGTAGCGGTCTTTCAATCACGATCGCTTCCTTAGGTCTATATTCTCTAGACCGTGTCGCCATTGTTGGCGGCAGCCGACTCTCAAAAGACATCTCTGCCGTGCACGATTCATGGTTTGCATCGCCTTGCTGATTGTCCTGTTTTCACGCCAGATTTCGGTCTCGTAGCACATCGCTGGCACTACCGCTGAACATTGAGGCTTAGAAAGTCAGGGTCGTTGAATCGCTCCGTTACTTCACGGATCGTTCCAAAAGTTGCCCACGCAGAACGTCTTCCGTGGCCTACTTCAGAAGAGATATTGTTCTGCATGTCAAGCTCTATATACGTAGGAATCCACACTTTCTGCAGGCCTTCTGCCGATTTCACTAATTCCACGTTACACTACTGGCTCACCATCATCTGTGCCTCGGACGTCATCTCAAAGCCAATCTTGTGACGAATTATATTAGGCTCGTTTACCATATCTTACCATACAACGTCCCCCCCCCGTCTTGGCAAATTTCTTTCCAAAATTTCAGAAAACTTACTGCATGGAAGCCGAATATGAAATTACTGTCAGGTGAAAATGAGCATGGCGTGAATCCACGTAGCCATGGACATGCAGTACCAGCAGAAATAATTTCCACGGATGAATTACCATCTGAAGTCTTGAGGATGTCACAGTGCAAACAGATCAGCCGCTTTCATTCTCAGCAAATGTGAACTTGTCCAGTTTGCGGTGCGAAGAAAAGACCGATTCCGGTGAGTTCGCGCAAAAGAAAGCACATTCATCAATCCGGCGACTCGGCGACTCCGAGTAAGATAGCCTTCATACTTCGTTAATGTGCGACTCCCAAACTGCACCCATGGTCGACCACCTCAACAGAAATCGATGAACAGTTCAGCTGGAACCCGAAGATGTTCTTTCCTGGATATGGTTCTATTAGCAGTGCATTGGTCCAACGATTAGCAGCGGAGCGCGGTCGGCCACAGTCGTGCGATTAGGGATCGCCTGAGTCGCGAAGTATGAACGCGGCCCAATGCACGAATCGCTATTGGGTGGAGCGAATCAATCCTATCTCATACTTTGCTGGGCATCCTGCTGAATTCTCCCATTCGCGAAGTATGAAATCGACCTTTCGGCTTAATAGTATAATTTTGACTTACCAATCCGGCATAGCACAATAAACACACTGCCTACCAAAAGCGAAATCTTTCCGAAAGGAATCCTCACTCGTGCATTGGATGGGCTTTTGATTCGAAGTACCATTCAGGCTGAAATGCGGTAAGAATAGTAACGCCAGGCAAATACTGGACGAAGGCCTCGAATTAGGATCAAGTTTCACCATTTGTTCACATGAGCGCATCTTGCCAGGGAGGACTGTGCGGTTCAGGGAAAGGTAACAGCCAGCATTGAAAAGAATACAACTCCCGTGAGCTGTCCTGGTCATGGGCACTTCAGTAGAATCGACCGCATAACTAGCAAAAAAAGGACGTGGCCGGATACCGTGCCGAGCATTATGAAAGCTGACTGCCCTTCCATCATCAGGGTCATCGATGTGATTTTAATTGTGCGATCTTATCCCACATCTCGACAGTATTTCAGAAAAATCAAATGTTGCAATCGTTTTTGATTTGCCACATCCAGTAGTACCTGCAACACGGTGCCTTTGCCACTCTTTTCGAAACAGAAGATCGATTACCAACAAATCGCAACAAAAACTAAACTAACCCCGGTTCGATTGGTCTTGTATACAAAGGCAAAACCATCGCATATTGTGACGGAAAGTATGTGACAGCTGAACTCACACCTTGGCCACGCCACTTCTGAAAGCCCTTGATAAGCAATAAGTCAGGCTTCTCAATCACTTTGATCAACGTCTATATATGAAAAGGGCCTTGCCAAAAATATACGTATTTAGACAAAACATGGCGAGCCTATACTTACGTTCCTCTATAACGAAGTGGCAAAACGTGTCACCAATATACGCGAGAATAAGAGGACTAGTAGTATAGAGTGGACTTCTTGCAAGTGATCTGATGCCCATTTGGAGCTTCTCGCTGAAGTTCGTGAGCACCTCAGAGGAACATTGGAGGACTGACAAGGGAATCATCGAAGTTTACCCTCACCAACTGTTTTCCTCCAGGCTATGAATTCTCTCACGCATTCTAGCAAATGCGCGAACATTCGACACAGGTGCACATCGAACTTCTAAATCCTCTGTAAGCTCATCAACAGGCACGGTAGCAAGAGCGCCGCTTCCAGAGGAGATATACTATAAGTGAGAATGCTAAAAAAAGAATGACACATAGCGAAAAGAATCGTTACGCTTCGAAGGCGCCCTGTACACCCTTCTTCGAAACGAATCCTTCCCGTGTATGAGGCTAATTGTTCACCAGGTTCAGCGGGGAGAGGGGGAAATCACTGCTTCAACAGATCCGCACGGAGTGTTGCGTCCTTGGGCAGAAGTAGACTTCCTCACATACACGGGATTGATCCATTTTGAGGTGCGCGTACAGCGCATCTTCAACGTTCGTCCGGAGTTGCCGGATGGACACAGCCAAGGAACGACGTCAAGAGAACGCACTTCCTCCTCTAACCCTCTGTGGTGATGAAGGAGGCGGGAAGATGGCAAGCGCTTCCTGGCCCCGCCTTCACTATCGCGGGCGGTAACTATCTTTAAGGGTACAGAGGCGAACACATTCATATCAAGCGCGCGATTTCGATGTAGTTAGTCCGGAAAGTTGTCACGTGAAAATCTAAGCTTTGCGGCGGCAATAGCACTCTATAAATATGCAATGCACCATCAAAATCCCTGTATCGCTATCGTTGACGCACACCTCATGCGCTGTTCCTTACTGGCTGTGAGTGAGACTACATGTGAGTGAAAAACAGTAAAATACCAATTTTGCGTCCATCACGAGGAGGGCTCGAATCGATCCGCCCTTGATTTCTCTTTGGTACAACATGTTGAGGCGCTCCTCTTCTACATTCCATTTGCATACAATCTAGAATGCTCTGATTTGACAACTACGAAGAAATATACTCGCTGACCACCGTGTCACTCTGCAGTGAGGTCAAATCTTATGTTCATGACCTCTTCAAAACTTTACGCAGCTTCATAGTTCGCGACTGTTTTGCAGTCTTAGAAATTTGCGATTACGATCAAATATGTATTGACTTTGCAGTTCAAAACAAGCCGTCGCGCTATTAGTGGTTAGGGATACTCTATGAAGGCATAAAACCCAGTCGCGGCGAGTGGACGAAATAGGCCTTGCAAGCGAGATGACGTAACGCAGTGATCCACCAGGATCCAACCTACTCAACGCAGCAGTGCAGCAGCGCCTCGATTCTCCAACTCTCTCCTCGTCCGGTTCTTACGGGTCGACTGGCTCTCTCCTATGTCTGTCCTGTTAACTAGATGGAAATACTCTGCCCAAGCTGGCTCACTGATATAGGTTCCGAAGTTGGTTTCTCGCGCTCACGATAAATCGTGAAATCAGAAAATAGAGCTCGGGCTGCTTGAGCGATAGAATCAGAAAGCGTCGCAACGCACAATGAATAGTTCCCCACATCTTTTCTGCAATGCCACATGCCCTAATGGACACACAGGACTTGCTCGCTGCGAGCGGGAGCGTCTCCAGAGATGCTGTCTACGGCGCCCACGCCAGCCCGTCCTCCTCCAGTCGTCGAAGCTGGCAGGCCACCACAATTGCTTGAGAACTGGCTGGTGCCGTGCCTACCTCTCCCTTTTGAACGACCCCAGCGCCTACAGCGAACAGACGATATGTTTCTCACGCGACAACACCCGAAGTTATTTTAACTGGAACTCAAGGGCTTCTTGGGCGCCTTTTCAAATACGCTCATTCAAAGTAATGAACATTGTGTCCAACAAGAAGAACGCATGGTTAGAGCGCGTTGTTTTCCACGTAATTTCTGTTAGGTGTGCCACAAAGTTCGTTGGCCATTTCGTTTTTTCAGAGCTGTAAGGATAATCTCACCAACGGTCCATGATATAATCTCCATGCATACCACTACCTTTCGCCAAACGTCGGGCTAGAGAGGCAACTCCATCCTCCAAAAGCCGGCGGCCGCCAACTCGGCCCAGTCCTCGATCACGTCCTCGAGGTCGCGCTCTTTCTTCAGCGTTGTTCCGTCAAAGAATTTTGCATGGACCAGAAGATGTGGTAATCGCATGCGACTAATGTCCGGGCTATACGGTGATGCGTGAATCGTCTTGATGCCCAGCCTGTCCAGGACGGCCTGAGTATCTCTCGCTTTTGTGGAGGCGCGCGCGTTGTCCCTCAAGAGCAACCACGGATTTGCAAGTTTCTGGGATAAGGCGGCAGCTTTCACCTTGACCTCCTGCACCTCTTTAGAGAGGGTCTCTGCCGTCACTGTGGCATTGTTGAGTAGGATCTGCTAGTGGACGACGCCGTGGCGCGAGAACCAGAAACCTCGGCATATTTTCGATGCACATAGTTTTCATTGGTGAAGCGAGTCCACCATTTTGACATCAGTTCTTAGAACGGGTGTTATCACAAACTGCTGACGCATCCTGGTCGTGCCTGACGTCTGGAGATGCCCACCCGCTATGTAGTAGTCCAGCAAACATCGGCGGTGGTGGTGACTATCACTCAACTGCTTTATTGTGGGAAGAGCAGGAAAGGAAATTCAGAGCTAGCTAGCTCAGAAGATAGCCCATCGCGAGTACTTTCAGTATTGCGAAATCTTTATGCAAAATCACAACGCGTTGCGTAACGCGACGCTGTTTACAAATGGCCAACGAACTTTGTGGACACCCTAATAGTTTTCATGTCAGGCAGGTAATATTTTTTCGCGCTCTCTTGTGCCGAGTACACGTCTAGTTGGAACTTTTGGACGTCAAGGTCTTCACAGTTCCTGCTCTGCTCGTATATTCTCCATCTAGGAAACTTGATATCTTCCTGGTTCTCGGTAACCACGACCATCTGATTTTGTGAACATTTCCTGCGCATTCTTCTAGAACATCACTTTCAGACCTCAGCATACTCTTCTCTACTCACGACATTAGCTATGAAGGGTTTTTACTCAGAAATAGCGATGAGCAAACCTCGTCATCACCAGCGGTGTATATATTACCATTACTGTCATGACATATGGAGTAAGGGCGAGCTGCATGACCGAACTGGGCATCCAGCTTGCTAATAACTCTGCAACTTCATACCGAATATGATTACTACAAAACCGCATGGCTCAGGGAAAGGTTACTAAATGGAGAATTCTTCTTGAACTGACTTGGCCTTAATTGAATCAGTTGGCACGCAGTCTAGGATCCTTGCATCCCACATACAGAGACAGCGATCATCAGCAATGGAGTAGAGTCTGTCCTTGTATAGATCAAGCCCAAAAATCATTCCCTGAGTTGTACTGTGCGCGAGCTTTCACTATTATCATCATAGATTTCTAAACCTACTCGGTGGCCTTCAAATTTAGCTCGGATGGATGGGCCAGTGGATGGGACAGTGACCAGAATTTCACCATCCATTGTACCAGCGATAACAACAAGATGATCCCATGAAGAACCAACAAGAATAGAGCTCAGTCTGCAACAAGACAACCAATGGGAATTTAAGGACTATTGTAAAAAATAGGTGCGAGCTGCTGAACATACATCAATGCGAATCTCTCTGATCGGACGTGTCGTTGCATTGTGAGGTTCGAAGATAATTTTTCGTAACTGTAGAGTGCCACCGAATAGGTTCCAAACAACAGCGCTACCTGTAAATGTACATTATCGTTGGAAAAACATGGATCAAATAACACCTACCTCCTCGGCTTCATCAAAAACTGCAACATCTAGAGGGTGGTCCTCGAAAAGGAATGGAGTTGGTACATCAAGTTCCTTGTCCCTATTGAAGAGGTTTGCGTCCGAAACAAACGTCATTGATCTTTCACCAAGAACGAGAACTCCTTCTGAATAGTGGCACTTTGCCGAAATCATTGGAATGTAATACTGCGCTTGCAAGACCCATGAGCTCGAATATCATGCTAAATTAGACAAGTACCTTTTCTCTCGCGAGCGCCCATCATCTCCCCCCTTCACCCGAGACTGCTTTCTCAGTTTTCGTCGGCGTTCTGAGCGCGATGGGTATCGGTCGGCGTCCAAAACGCCAGTTCGACACATACACTTTCTTGTGCGCTGCAGGGCACATCGCCGTCGGGAATTCCCCAACGGGGAGGGGTCGTATTTGACAGTCGAAGGGAGAGGGGGGTCGTGACGACAGGGGCAGTTAGTACCGAACAGCGGAAAGGTGTCAGCGTGCTGCGTCAGTGCTGTGTATAGCGAAACTTGCTTTGTAGAGAACTTGGATATGTAGACAAGGATTAATTAATCGATTGGCACTATTTACCCTTTACTGCCCCAACCTTCCAGAATTGAGCCAGTTTTTGACGGACTTTTTTCTCCGCAGATATTTTTCTCCAAATATTGTCTTCTGGGGTAATTTGACCCCCCCGAATACGAATATCACATTGTTTAGCCCGAAACCTCCTAGCGGCCGCGCCATAGGCGCCGGTGATTTGGGGTATCTTGGCGCCAGCGTCTGTAGCGCGGACGCCATTAGGTTTCGGGCCAAGCCGATGTGATATTCGTGTTCAGGAGATCAGCTACCACAGGGAACAAGTTTTCAGCGGATTTTGTGATTTAGGGTATGTTGGCGCCGGCGCCTGTGGCGCGAGCGCCAAGAGGTTTCGTGCCGAGCGGATGTATATTCATGTTTAGGAGGTCTCAAACTACCTCAGCGAAGAAATTTTCATCCAATTCTGCCAACGCAGAAAAAAGTTGATCAAAACTGACCTGTTTTTGGAAGATTGGGGCAGGAAAGGGTAAATAGTGCCGATCGATCAATTAAACTAATCTGAAATTCTTCTTCTTCTCCTCCTTCAGCGTTTGTCCCGCTCTGTAGCGGAGTCCGCTCGTCTTATTTTGTCACGCCACTTCTCCCGATTGAATGCTTGAGGATGGGTGCCAACTATCTTTAAGTCCGCATGCAACGTGTCTAACCAGCGCTGCTTGGGGGTTCCTTTAGGCCGCTTTTCGGGAGCCTCGAGCTCAAGACCAATCCTACGAACGGTGTCACAAGTCGCGCGAAGAACATGACCACGCCATCGAAGGCGAGCTTCGCGCATTTTCTCGGCCACAGGAACTACACCGTATCTCTTTCTTGTGTCGTCATTGCGTATGTGATCCATACGCGGGACGCCGGCGGTCCATCGGATTATTTCATCTTCATGACTTCTGAGGCGTCCTAAGCCGCTTTCAGCACCATCTATGGCGACTGGTCGGACGGCGGTCTTCTAGATCTTCGATCTTAAGCGGTCTGGGATCGTCTTCGCAGAGAACGCCATTCATAGACTACCACTTAGAAGGCTGCACTCACACGCGCGCTCACTTCTGAGTCAGACTACCGTCAGACGTAACTGTTGACCCGAGGTATTCGAACGTTGTCGTTCGCGTTAGCACACTGCCGCTGACCTTAAGGAAACCAGACTCGTCCGGGTCAGTCGTCAGGTACTCGGTTTTCTTGACATTCAATCTGAGCTCGAAGTCTGCTAACCGCTCAGTCAAAGCTTGAACTTGTTTCTCGAGACCATTCTTAGCCTCGCAAGCGACCATCACATCGTCAGCGTCCGAGGGGTCGGCTTCTGAAGGTCCAGTGAAATGGCATTCATGACACACAGAAGAGCAGCGGGGAAAGCAGAGAGCCTTGGTGCAGAGCCTTGCCCCCACTGTGATGGGGAACCCCATCGAGATGCCTGCTGATCTTCGAACTCGACTCGTTGGGCTGAAGTACAGGATGCGTACCCACTCAATCAGCTCTTCGGAAACGTCGTGCTGCCGTAATGCACACCGTATAACTTCATGTGGGACACGGTCGAATGCCTTCTCCAAATCAAGGAAGGCTAGATGGACATGCTTCTTCTTCTCACGATGTTTCTCCAGCAAAAGGCGAGCGACATGTATGACTTCGATGGTGCTACAGCCGGTTACGAAGCCACACTGGTTGGTAGAGAGCTGGACGATATCACGAATACGCTTATCGACAGTAGGCTCAAAAATTTTCATGCTGTGCGAGAGCAAACAAATTGGACGATAATTTCTTTAGTTATTTATTCATCATGCACGCATAGGTGCGCTAACAATGCAAACGATAAGCATCGAGTCATAGGACGAACAACAGTACAGTTATTAGAAAAAAAAACACAAAATCGGTAACACAAATACAGCCGAGGGGAGAGTTCACTAAACTGCAAGTTTCAGGGAACCTAAATGCTTAGCAAGGTGATGAGATCAACTTTCCTTAGTTTTTCTCAGAACGTACAGGTGTTAGGCGCCTTCTGCAGGTCTGATGGAAAGATGGTAATTTGAGATATCTCGCTCCAGAAGAAAAATGAATTAGAAATCCTGGTTTGGTGGCTACGGCACAATTTAGGACATTGCAAGGACAACCAGGAGGTGCGACCCATTCGTCGGACTGAACACCCAGTACTTACTGGGTTTCAGCTTTAGCTCTCCTTTCAGTTCGAAAGCAGAACGCAATGTCATTGAAGCACTCGTCTGTGCATTAGTGATCTGAGCTTGAAAGTGTAGGCGCTTCTGGTAGCTGGGCAAACTATGCGGATACTCAGGACTCGAAAAACAAACGATACACAAAATGCTCGTAAAAGTTTGCTGCACCTTTTCTATTTTTGCCTGGAGCTTCTTAGTAAGAGGGCTCCATATATGCGAGCCACATTCGAGAATGGGGATGACGTATGCTTCATAAAGCTTCAGTAGAATTGAAGAATCGTTCTGTCGAATATTTCTCAAGATGGCAGAGAGGGTTCTGAAAGCTTTTCGAACAATCGCATCAATGTGATGCGATAAATCCAAATAGGAATTTATGATGATCCCGGTCGCAAACTTCCCTCGAAACACTGATTGAGATACTGGCTGTGTAGGGTACAACTATGGCTTTTCCTATATGAAGTACAGAAGTTTTCATAAAATTCACAGGTATACCCCAAGCATCAGCCCACTCCATCTGTTGCGTATAGATTGGGTTGACGGTCGGTGAACGCAGTCATGGTTAAAATTATCATAAACACCGTATATTTGATGTCATTGGCGTATATTTTAACACTGACCAATGGGTGGGTACTTAGGCAGGCTGGTAGGTCATAGGTGTACATCAAAAACAACAGAGAAGACAAGACACCAAAAACTCCACTGGTGCAAGAGAATCTCTGTGAGAAATTGTTACCTACTTTGACACACATGTGTCTATTCTTCAGATAACAACTGATCCAGCTAAGGAATTTGAGCAGTCTGCAGGACTGCCTTTTTTCTTCCATATCGGTACCGTCGTGGTCCTTTGCCATTCATCGGGCATTTGCTTCTCTGCAACGACTTTATTGAAAAACATAGTCAACCATTCGGCAACATGCCAGCAGTGTGACTTCCATACTTCGGCGCTACTTCGTCAGGGCCCGGTGCCTTGCCTGGTTTCATCTTCTTTAGAGCCGCCTGTGTTTCCTTCGAGCTTATCTTCAGAAACCGTATGTTGGTAGGGCGCAAGGTATGAGCGGGTGCGTATATCCTTCTGTGGAATTTTCCTTAAAGTAGTCGCGCCATTGCCTCAGCACTTTGGTTCGGTCCATCAGAAAGCAGCCCTTCTCGTCGTTGATGCCAAAGAACTTCTCCACATCTTCGGCAAGTCGGTAAATGTGCCATTCGCCACCGCGCGCTTCCAGCTGCTTGCTGATTTCATCGAAGTGAGAGGCTTTCGTAGCTGCCAAAGCCTTCTTTGCCGCTTTTTTCGCTTCCTGGTATTTCAGGCAGTTGTCAGCTGACTTGTCTTCGGAAAGCGAGTGATAGCGCTTCTTCTTCTTCTCGGGAATTTTTACCCTGGCGTCATCTGTCCACAACCATGCCTGTTTTTCAATTCCACGCCTTCTAGATTTCGTTGCGCCAAGTTCAGAGCAGTGGCTTGGGCAATCGCTTTGGCAGCATTCTTCCAGGCTTAGTCGACAGTTGTGACGGTTGGTATTCGTATGCGAGAAGTCACAGCTGCCTCCTTTCTTTAAAGTGCCACCATATGATTCTCTCGGGGCCACATCGCCCGACCCGGGCAGTGTTATCTTTAGCATACAGATTAGCGGACGATGTTGCGAGGCTACTGTCTCATACGAATTCTTCGCGTCTATGACAAGTCCTTGATCGCGATGCCTGACAAGAACACAGTTTATTTGTGTTCTGGCGCTCCCGCTGTAGAAGGTTATCAGGAGGGAGTCACGTTTGCGGAACTTTGTGTTCACGATGGCGAGATTATATGCTTCTGCATGTGTTCGCCATCGACGTAACGTGTCTCATATCCGAAACCACTATGACAACTGTAACCGTCTTTCCCTTGCGCCCACGTGCCCGATAAGGTCACCGACGACAATTCCGACGTCTTCTGACGGTACCTCAGCTGTCTCCTCCTCAAGCAGAGTCTCAAACTAGTCCTGAGTGTTCAGCGCATCCCGTCTGTGGAGCATATGCAGAAAAGAAGTGATAAAGTCGTTGCTTGAGGGCAAGAACAATCTTCATCAAACGATCGTCGAAAGGTTCCACGCTAGCTATCAAGTCACGGAAACGTCGTGAGACGATTATGGCCACTTCGTTAGTGGTCCTTGGCTTGCCACAAAGAACGGCTCTGAAGCCGCGACCAATGTCTCTCAACTCGCACTCTGGACGACTCGTTAGCGCTCCGGTGCCTCTGTAATTCACCATGAACGTCCTGTCAAGATTCCAACGTTAAAACGTTGCCATACGGACTTTTACGTACACTCGCCCCGATGCCGTCCTTGCATCTAGGACCCCGTCGGCTCCTGCGGATGCCATAGCATTATCTCAAAATACAT